GCACCAGTGTGTAGAGTAAAGCCAAATTTCAAATCACCCACAGTAGGTCAGTTTTCAACCACTCTGTGCAGTAGCATACATTGTGTTGTATTTCTTGAGGAAAAAAAAGGCAGTATTCTGGTAAATTCTCCACTGTCTTGCTGCCTTTCTGTACAAACATCTCATAGTCAGCCCTGTAATGGTGGATAGATCTTGCAATTTGCCAGAAAACTGAATTGCTCCAGGCAGTACATGTTTGTTCAGTAACTTACTTAGTCACATGAGACCTACTTGTCAGTATATGGAAGTTCATCTTCTGTGTTGTAGGATCCCATTTACAAATACAGGAAAGTTTTATCCCTCTTTGTGAAGGCATGTGTGTGTTTCTCTTTCTTTGGATCTGCTGTCCTGAAGCATCCCTTGCCTTCTTGCAAGGCAACCCCCACACACATACTACTTCATACCCTGGGCTTTGGTTTCCTGCCTCTCTCAACTTTGTGCAGCTCCTGATGACTTTTACATTTGAGCCACCCCTTGACTTTCCATTTTTTTTGACAATGCTGCTTAGCCAGGCTGTGTGGGCTTGTTGCAAGAGCTGCCTTTTCTTGGAGTCAGTGGCTGTGTGTATTAACTTTAACACAGCTCCAAACACACTTCAGGCTTGGCACAAATAATTTGGCTTATGTGTCCATGCTTGAATCTCCCAATATATATAACTGTGCTCCTGACTGGCTGACAATCACCTGACTTCAGTTTTTCTTGGCTTTTCTCCTGTGCTTTCAGCCTTCATTCTGTCATCTACTGTTTTGTCTCTTTGTTTACCCTGGATATGCCTTGAGAAAGTAGGTCTGTCCTTAGGCTAATGTTTTGGTAGTGTAGAGGTCAAAGGATCTGTACCTAACTGAGGGCCGTTTGTTTCCCCATGGTGCAAATGCAAATCAACACAGTTTATTCCCATCACCCCAGCCTTTTACAGTATTTACTCTTACAGCAGTATTTGTGTGGCAGTTTCAACACAGAAAAATGTGTTTGCTAGTGTACAGAGGCACCTCTTGCAAAGTCATTGTCCGTTTCCTGATAGAGCTCAGAGTAGAGTGACTGCTTTTCTGTTGTCCTCTAATGGCAGATTCATTCCAGTTCTCGCCCTGCATGAACTGCTTGATGCAGCACAGGTGGGATTTGATGGAGCATGACCTAAGAGTTTACTTTTGCTGATCCCTAGTCACTGATGTGTTGGTCAAGATTATAAAAATACTTGAGGGATGGTATATAGCTCTTCTTGGAGTATTTGATCAAATGAATTTCAAAGATTTGTAGAGAATCAGTGTCCGAATCTATCAGGAAAGCGTTTTATCACAGAGAAGGAGCTCAGCAAAGCAAAATTGGTGGCATGGGAAAAATAAACATGAGAAAGTGAGAAGTAACATCATATGTCTACAGTTAGTGCTTTTTAACCTTTAGTATCTTCTTACTAAATCATAATCTGTATGATTTTCTTTCATTGTTTGATAACCTTTCAGGTTCTTTATTTCCTGCTGCAGGAAATTCTCCAGAGCATATCATCTAGAAACAGTGCAGCTGCAGTGTTGCTCCCTTTAACCTGTTATTGAACAGTTACAAGAAAAGATGAACCCCCCTTTTTTCACACTTCCAAGCCCCAGCATGTACTCAACTTGGAGATAAACATGATCCAGGCAGACAGCAAACTGATGTGAGGACTGTTATGGTGGAGCAGGACTGAGTAAATATGTACAGCATGATGTTAATAGACACATGACTGTCCAAGTTTCAATTAACATACTAGATAGTGATGTGGAATGAAGAATCAAAATACATCATTCTTATTAATCAGCTGAGTTGCACTTGCTGACAATTTAAAGGTCATGGAGAGTCAAAAATACCGCCAAAGTAAAAAGTGTAGATGGCAAGTAGCAAGCTTTTACAAAATAATCCATATGAAGAAAAGTACTTTGATTATGAAGGAGACACTTGAAAGCCAACAATACAGAGAAGGCCACAGCTGAATCTTAGCAGAGAGTAAATTATATTAGGGTATCCATACTTTGGATAGACATATTTCCATGTCTGGTCGGAGCACAGGATGGCCAGGGCTTTTCTCTGGCCTATTTACTCACCTAAAGGCATTTTGCAGTAATTGATTCAATCACAGCATCACAGAGTTATGTAGGCTGGAGGTCTGGAGGTGGTCTGATCCAGCCCACCCAACCCATCACACCCCAAACTCAAAGCAGGGACAACTTAGATCAGATTGCTTGTGACATTCTTCCTTGAGTTACCTTCACATCTGTTCCTGTGTTTGGCCATCCTCCTAGTTCAGAAGGTCTTCCTAACATCTAACTAGAATTTCCAGTGTCCCAGCTTGTATCTCTTGCCTCTTTTTCTGTCACTGTGCACCTCCAAGAGGAGTCTTGAGCTTAGCTTGTATACATCCTCTAATGCAGACAGCAGTTATGGACTTCAGTAAGATCTCCTCTTAGCCCTCTTTTCTCCTGACTGAACAAAACCAACTCCCTCAGCTTCGTATCATACATCATGCTCCATCTCCCTCGATCCTCTTTGTGCCATGTTGAGGATCTCCTGCATTTTGTTACTGTCTTTGCTGTACTTCAGATGAAGTCCCGTAAGTACCAAATGCAAGGGAAACTCCCATGTCCCTCAGGCTGCTAGCTGTGGTCATGCAGCTCAGGATGGGCATACTGCTGACTCATGTTCAACCTGCTGACCACCAGGACCTTGAGTCCTTGCAAAGCTGCTTTCCACCCAGTTGTCCCCCAGCTTGTGCTGTTTTATGGTGTTGCTCTATCCCAGGTGCAGAACTTTGCCTCTGTTGAACTTTATGAAATTTCTGGCAGCCCTTTTGACAGTCAGACACCCTCTGAAGAGCAGCCTTGCTCTCCAGTGTACCAGCTGCTCCCTTTCATTTGGTACCAGCAGTGGAGTGGCTGACCATGCAAGGCACTTCATCATTCAGGGTGTTATTAAAGGTATTAAAAAAGTATCATCATGTCCAGTATCAACCCCTCAGGAATGCTGTTAGTACATGGCTGCCAGCTGGATTTTGTCCTACTGCCTATCAGCAGCTTGCAAGTTATCAGGACAAAAGCAAGTAGAGGCTATAATCTGAGCACAGTTGGTCCACAGTTGAATTTTGTGTTGATCTGAGTGTTTTGAAGAGTTAATGGTGAAGTCTTTCCGGTTTTACTTGTTCGGCTTTTATGTGAAATCAGCAAAAGTCGCTTTTCCTCCCCCAGAATTACTATTATTAGCGGCCATTTAGAAAGCTAGTAGCAAAATAGTCAGGGAACGTACCCAGCAGAGATGAGGGAGAAGCAGCAATCGTATGGAAGCTCCAACCTACGTTATACACAACAGCTCTCCTAAGTGGGAAACAAAAGCACACCATGCTGCTATTTCCAAGATCTGCTAATTCACCATCTAGCCCTCAGTTAGCTTCCAGTTAAGACTTTTAAAGTCTATAACTGATCATGGCCTAACTATCCAGTCACATCTTTTCAATATGACTCACTAAAAAACCTTCTCCAGAGGCTTTGCACTGTGAGGTTTCTGATGAAGGATGGTTTGCTGGGGGAGTCCCTACCACAGAAGAATCAAACCAGGACTAACATGCACTTGTAGGAAGCTGTGGCTGCCCCATCCCTCACAGTGTTCAAGACCACATTGGATGGGGCTTGGAGCAACCTGGTCTAGTGGAAGGTGTCCATGCCTATGGCGGGGGGTTGCAACTGGATGAGCTTTAAGGTCCCTTCAAACCCAAAGCATTCTATGGTAAGACCCCACTCAACAGCAACACCATGCATTCATCAAAGCATGTTTTAAATTCCCCAGTCCACCCCCTGAGAACTAATGTTTTGAATGAAGTTACTGTGAAACACTGAATGTATTTCAGTATGAAAACAGGAAGCAAATGATGGGACTGTTAACATCTGCTGGTTTTGCTTTACAGCATCAACATAATGTTGAATACAGAATTCTTACTCAGAGTGGCAGTACCTCCTAAGGCACTTTGATATGTGATGTTTAGCTGAGGCTAGTCTCCATTACCTGGAACCTAAAAGGCGGCAGGAGGAGACTGGGACAGGCCAAGCAAGACATGTTTATGTTAGATGCAGACTATCAGCAAACACATTTGCCCACTGATTTTTGGGCCAGCTTTCTACAGCCCAAGGCCACAGGCCAGATATTATGCCAGAGGGAGAAAGCTGAGAAGTGACCTGGTGAGTTCTCGAGAAGTGAAAAAAATCTGAGGGTTTGGGATTCTATGTGCAGACTACTCCTGGACAGAGAAAGACAGCTCCTGTGCAGAGACATGATTTAGTTCTTGATGACAGGTCGAGCTGTGGACTTCAGAGACTGAAGGCACATATAATTGCCTGCTCCAGTTAACTGCTGAACTCACCATGGTGTCCAATGGCTGCTGAAAAAGCAATGAGCACTTTACAACATCTGCCCCTCAGACTGGCAGACTTCAGCTTTCTGGACAATCATGGGAAAGGACTGTGTCTGTGAGTGGCACAGGGTGCTCATAGGAGACTTTGTATGTATGACCATAGGTGCAAGTGCAGGACACAGATTTTTGCTTTTTGTATTACTGAGGTAGTACTTTTCTTATCACCAACCAGGAAAGAAAGGAAAGCAGTCCCCACAAAAAAGGTAGCTGTGTTGAGTGCATTCTAGTAAAGCTGCAAAAGGACTAGGTTCTTCCAGTGCAGCCAGGCATTTAAGGAGACATCACGTATCAGGTAGTGTTTTATTACACAAGTTATTTATACAGAGACATACAGTGATGCCTTTGTGTCAGAATGGCAGCTGTATTTATCATCAGTTGCCACCATGAACAGCAAGATCACTTCCTGCCAAACTGGGGCAGCGGTGGTGGCACTTTGATGTCTTGACCTCTTTCCAGCTTCTTCTCGCAGTCAACTAGAAAATTGACCCCATCGATGACAATCTGGACTAACTCCACCTACAAGAAGAAGAAGAAGAAAATAGCGGTAACAGAATCTTAGCTAATGCTGTTAATAGAGGAAGGGAAAATTGGCTTGTACTGCAACAACAGCAGGTAAAGCTGTAAGTAAGGAGGGTCACAGCAGAGAAATCACACCCTGTGGCAGAGGGAGTATGAGTTAAGCTGGTCCATTGGAAATCCATAGTAATTCACTTCTCCTATTTGTCTTGAGTTTGGACCACCAGCAACAGATATTTTCAAATAGGTACTCAATATCACCAAGCAGTTCTTGCAAATGCCCTGGCTGTGTGTTCCCAGTTCCCAAGGTTGTCCTAACCCGGTGCTTGCAGGAGCATTTGTGTGAGCACAGAGTCAGACAGAAGCTGACTGGGATGGTGGTGCAAGGAGAGGAAGACAGGTCATTGCCTTCATCCACACTGGACCTGAACGCTACTGGAGGCACAGGGTAGGTGTCCTTCACATGGCTGGCACTGGGAGGATGGCAGGACTATCTGATTTGTCACAGCCATTTAAACGGCCTGAGAAAGTTTGTCAGGCCCAAATATTTTACTTATTCACACAATATGTTCCCCTGGAGATGGCCATGAACCCTGCTGTAATGGTTAATCACCTGTGGGGAAAGATGCCCTACCCATTCTGCCAAGCATGCTGGCTTTGCTGGAACACTTTGGACAATGCACATCTCTGAAGCAGACACACTTATCCTAAACTCATGCTGGCTCTACACCATCCATCACTCCTTTGTTTTCAGCTCTTGATTTACACTGGAAGGGGTGGGATTAGCTGCAGGCCCAGAGCAGCACCAAAATTTGCAGTTCTCTATGGCAGGGGGTAGGGGTGACTTGTAAAATTCCTCAAAATTGCTAAAGAACACAAAATGCCTTGTCCTCAACAAACTTTCTCCATAGCAGTGACATGCGAGGCCCTGTGGTATTGTTAGGCATCAAGCTATAGCACTGACTTTTCTTTATCTTCATGGAATGGTTCATTAGCAACCTTTAATGACTGGCTTGTTAAAACTTAGTACGAAGACCAAGTCCTATTATCTCTTTATTGTGACAGTCTTTGATTTTCAAGGGATTTGGTTTTTACTACAAAGCATTTCAGTGGCATAGCAGTTTATTTTATTGTCTTTTACAGACCAGCTGTGTTGGGAAATCAGAGGTCTGAACCTGCAGCCTCCAGGAGAAAAGGGATTTCATATTAAGTTTGCATTGACCAGTAACTGAAACAAAGCAAAAATACAAATAATTCATCTTGCACTTTTGGGATCATAATTCAGTTCTGCAAACACATTTACCAAATAATGGAATTTGTTTTATTATATACTGGAAAAAAAAAAGTATTTTAAAACACTTCCGTCCCCTTGAGTTTGTCTTGCCTTATTTAGATTTCAGAACATTCAAGGTGGGGATTGTATCTTATCTAATGGCTTCATCTTTTGACTCATTGCAGTACAAGGCATCACTGACTTCTGTGGAAGTCTTCACGTAAGCAAAAATTTGCAGGCTTAGCCCATCTGTCAGTAGAACTCATATTAAGTAACTGTACTGTATAATCATTTTGTGTTATTAAGTGTTATTTTAGTCTAAAGCACACATTATGATGTTTCAGGTATTAATAATTATTTTTTTCAAATACTGGTTTTGCAAGTAATAGAGCTCAGTAGTTTTTCTCTCTTATTTATTTTGGTCTAGATCCAAAGGAACATAGCTGCCTACATCAAACTCCAAAATTATGAATATCCAAGCCCCTGTCCAAATGCCCTTGGCTGTGAAGACATTCAAGGGCATTTCCAAATAAAAAGACCTGACTTGTGGAAAACAGTGGTGGAAAACCCAAGGTGAGTGAAGAAGGGAAGTCACTTGCTATTTGGATCTAGTTGTTACCCAGGTGCATTATCCTGTGGTTGTATTTGTTTTATGAAAACCTACCAAGAATCAGGCTGAACTCCATATTGGGCTGGAACACCACGACCAAACTGCACCTGTATGTAAGCTGCCAGAGCCTCTCAGTGCTGTGCTGCTCTGGGTTAAACATACTTTGACAGCATGCTTTCCTTTGTAATCATATTTTAACTTGCACAAATCCCCCAGGGTAATTAACAGTTTGCTGCTGGGCAGGCAGGCAGCCCTTCAAATCCTGACATGTACAAGCAGGGTTAGCATCTGAGTCCCAGTCATGTATTGCATTGCTGGTGGAGAAAAAGGGTCCTCAGAAGACCTGAGTCCCACCAGGGCCTGCCCGGTTGACCATTGTTGAGATGTTACAGCATAAACCCAGGGGGTAAAAGACGTCTTTGACAGAAGCTTTGAACCTGTTTCCCATCTACTAGCAGAGTGCTCAAGTCACTGAACTTACAGGGTCTTGCAAGGTAAATTTTTGCCTTGGTTGTTCTTGACGTGGCCAGGGGTGAGCACAGCCCTGGTCTTGGTGAGGGAAAGGAATCTGTAGCACTGCTAGAGGACTTAGAGCCTGTGCCCCAGAGTAAGAGTTTGTCTCAGGTGGAGCTAGTGGGAGGAGGCTGCAACACTGCCAGGGCTGTTTCTCCCCCATCCTCCAGTTGATTTGCTCTTATAAGCTGTTCTGCTTTATAAAATATTTAAATATGAAACCGGAATGAGGTCTGGGACTTGAGTCTTCCTGAAGAGCAGCACCACCACAAGCCTGTAAGGTAATTTTCACTCTTAGGCGCAACAAATATTAATTCAGACTGAGACAGCTGACATGTCTGACATGAACCCATCTCATCATAGCCTACAGCCCAACAGGGAGGGCTTAGCTGACAATTAAATCTTTGTCCTGATTTTTAAACCCAGCTCTTCTGTATCCTTTGCTCAGCAGCACACAGGACACATGAAGATGACACCAAGTCCTCCTCAGTTACTCTGAGTGAAGGATTGGCCTTTGTCCTCCAGTCTAACTGTGAAGAAAGTGCATGGATGAGTACTAAAAGGAAGACAACACTTTAAACCAGTCTTGCTTTCAGTGTCTGATTCCCCAGGTAGGTTAGGACTTGACTCCCAACACCTTGCAGCAGGTAGGTAGGTCCCACCCAATGTGCAGTAGCTAGCTCAGTGCTCACTGTCAACTTACAAACATGTCTCATGTCCAGCATAGTGGAGATCACCAGACTCTGATCATGTAGCCAGGCACCCCAGCAGGCAGGCATCCATTAAGAACTTGTGCTGTGTTGCTGAGAAACGTTATCCTGAGGGATGCCTGCTACCAAAGCCAAACCTTTCTAATACCTCTGTGCTCTCAATGGAGATACTCATCACATAGAATCATAAAATAGTTGAGTTGGAAGGGACCTTCAACGGTCACCTAGTCCAAACCCCTGCAATGAGCAGGGACATCTTCAACTAGATCAGGTTGCCCAGAACCACATCCAGCCTGGCCTTGAATGTCTGCAGGGGTGATGCATCCACCACCTCTCTGGGCAACCCGTGCCTGTGTTTTACCACCTTCACTGTGCAAAATGCCTTCCTCATGTCTAACCTGAATAGAAAATCATAGAGTAGTTTGGGTTGGAAAGGACCTTCAAAGGTCATCTAGTCCAACCCAACATGGTGCAAGCAAGATGCATTTGTGAGACTTGCTCAAGGTTGTTATTTTTTCATTGCCATAACAAGAATATTTGTCAAACACTTTATGCATGTTAGTTTTCCTTTTGAGTTAGCATTTCGACTGCACCAGGTTCATTAGGAATAAAAACTGCCATGGATGGCTCCACTGAGGTCAGCAGAGGAAAACGGACTTCTGTCAGTACAGATCAGAGCAAAAAAAGAAAGGAAAAAAAAAAAAAAAAGAAGAGATTACCTCTGAGCGACCCATGCGGTCCAGGTTGGAGATATCGTATACATCTGCTACAGCTGCTGTGTCCACGCCACCAGTGCCACGTTTTTGCAGACGCAGGTTCTCCAGGATTTTTGGAAACCGAGGATCCTATCAGAAAACAGTTTTGAGCTTAATGCCTTTCACCCTGTGTATTGTGCCAAATCGTTGCAATACTGTTATCCATGGTGTAGTAGCATCCCCAGAAAGACACGCACAGATGGATAGTTTTCTCAGTCCTTAGATTAAAGTCTGTGTTGGCAGTTGTCTGCTGAGTAGGTTAATTTCTGTAACAAATACAATAATTTGTGGGATAAAAGTGTGCTCATTTAGTGGTGTGTTATCCCTCGGACCTTGTTACACATCATGTTAACATGCAGTCACTGTAAGTTGGCATTTTAAATTTGTTTCTTTATAAATCAGAAGAGCTGATTTATATCACTGGCCTTTTAAATGACTTACATACCTTGCTTAGCCTGGGCAGCTTAACATGGACTCCAGCACGTAAACCAGTTCCCAGGTTGGAAGGACAGGTCAGAACATACCCAAGACGCTCATTCCACATGAACTCCCAGCCCCGTTCTTTAATTAATCTTTCCACCTATGACAGAATAAAAAAAAGAAAACACAAAGAAAAGGTCAGGATACAAATGTCTTATTTTAAGATCTCTGCTTGTAACAGGTATTCTTTTCACAAATGTCTTATTTTAAGATCTCTGCTTGTAACAGGTATTCTTTTCACCATGTATCTTTGTTGATGGTGAACTTCACTAACACCAGTGGAGGTGCGTGAACTTACACCCAAGTACGTCTGTTTTGAGTCTGATGCAAATGTTTGCATTCATCAGGTACCAAGATCCCCAGCGCATATTGCAAGGATTTCTTCATTGTTTTCTCACAACCACTAGCTTGGAGACTCTGACACTTTAGCACAAAGATCCCCATCACATTGGTTTGCAATACCCCTAGCCTGTGAAGCCATATCTTCACATGAGTATTAGGGCTTTTGCCGTGTGTTTCCAACCTTGGTATTTTTGGAGCCATGTGTCAACACACAAGCCCAAAGGACTTAAATGCTACAAAGCAAACATAAGCAGCTGAATCTGTGATTCTTTTGAGAGGGCACTTTGACTTTTAAATGCCTAGTTGTAACAGCCAATGCACCTTGTAAGGCTCCAGCTGCACTGCCTGAATTGCAGAAGGCAAAGGCAGGGACTGGGAGAACGAAGAGCCACCACTTTAAAAGATCAGATTTGGGAACATCTGAGGAACCTGAAGGTGCACAATTCCATGGGACCTGACAAGGTGCGTCATCATCCTGAGGAACATCCTGGGGCACGACCAGCAGTGTGTGCTTGAGTCCAGAACCCCACTGTGTGCTGGGCTGCATCTACCAGATCATGAGCAGCAGGTCGAGGGAGGGGATTCTGCCCCTCTACTGCACTCTGGGGAGACCCCCTGCAGTCCTGAATCCAGCTCTGGGGCAACAACACAAGAGGGACGTGGAACTGTTGGAACAAGTCCAGAGGAGGCCACGGAGATGCTGTGAGGGCTGGAGCAGCTCTGCTCTGGAGACAGGCTGAGAGAACTGGGCTGGTTCAGCCTTCAGAAGAGAAGGCTCCTTAAGGGGAGACCTTAGTGCAGCTGCCAGTGCCTAAAGGGGCTACAAGAAACCTGGAGAGGGGCTTTTGACATGGGCCTGTAGGGGCAGGACAAGGGGAATGGCTTTATCCTGACAGAGGGGAGACTGAGATGAGATCTTAGGCAGAAGTTCCTCCCTGTGAGGGTGGTGAGGCCCTGGCACAGGTTGCCCAGAGAAGTTGTGGCTGTGGAAGGTGTCTGTGCCCATGCAAGGAAGATGAGTTTTAAAGGCCCTTCCAACCTTAACCATTCTATGATACTGCCTGTGGGACATGGTAATGTCTTATTTCTTTGTTAAATAAACTTTTTCTGTGCCAGAGGAGTACTGGGGCTGCACTGGGCCCAGAGCCAACGTGAATCATACCTGGACTGTCTAGACAAAACTGAACCCACACGCCATCTCATGAAGGCTTTTTCTTTGTGAATAGCTAGATCAGAATACAACTCTAGAGTCCTCAATATCATATTTTAGTATTTTAATCATAAACCCCCATATCTCCTTAAAAGTGGCACTGAGCCAAAGGGTCCTAAGCCCCAGGTTCTCAGCAGCATGCAGTTTCCCACATCAGAGAAGAGAATGAGGAGGCTGGGTCAAATAAATTCTCCATTCAAGCAAATAAAGCAATCCAAATAAAATGTGTGATTTATGGATTTCCACAGCCTTCGGACACAAAATCGCAAAAGAAAAAAAAAAAAAAAAGGATATTCATTAGCCAGCCTGTGCTTAATATTTGAATGAAAAAGCTACAAAGACATTCTATTTATTTTTCCTTGCAACTCAGATTTCATGCTAGCATGAATGCCTCTATTTCCTTCTTTATCTGCATTATTGTGGGTTGCTGTGTAGACTGATGTTACTTCATTTTGTTGCTCCCAGAGACATGAGTTCAGTATGAACCCTATTAAGTACTGTTGACAAGAGCTCAACAATAAATAAGCAGGAATAATAAATTCATTGAGACATTACCTCCTTCAAGCCACGGCAAAATCTTTCAAACACCCGTTTCATGTTGCCACCCTTCTCCATGGAGATCACCCTGGTGTGGTCCTCTTCATTAATCCAGATGAGAAATGTCTTGTCATTGTTATGCCTGATTGGGGTTGGGGGAGGGAAACAGTATCTTTAAAAAGACAGGCCCTGAAAAATAGTTCTCAATATCCTTAGTTTTATCACAGTCTGCTGGGGCTGTGGCGAGGTTAAGCGTGGCAAAATATGTTCTGCAGAGTTAGGCATCTGAGCTGCTTTCCCAGTTGGGTCCCCCATGCCAGTGAGGGGCATTACATGTGTTTTTGGGCACAGCAAGAAGGGCAGTTTTTCTGATCACATCATGCTGCTGTGGTGCTGAGTGAGGAAGAATGTGTTGT